CAGTATACATATTTCAAAAGAGTAACACTTAAAATTTTAGTGATAATTATTTCCAATGTGGTCCTTGCAGGCAACAAAGTGAATGAAAATAGGATCCGGCAGAACAAAAATTTAATGTTAGTTACAAGAACTGTTTGTAATAAGTTAGGTGGGTGCTCAAAATCAAAATGTGTTTGAAACACATTTTGATTTTGAACACAAAGCTTATTTTATGAAACATAATGTGTTTGTTTTTTAAAAAGCCTCTTTGGTTTGACATTGTTTGAGTGAAACTGGTAAATCATTCCAAATACAAATATCAGTTTCCAATTAGATATTCTTAAATTTATATGTAAATCAATGAAATGATGAATTGATCCGTTGCCAAGGAACAGTCAATGTTGCCACATTCAAAAATTTAGGCATAAGATAGGAAAGGCAATGCAAACTTGACGATCGGAACACGAGGTTACTATGTCTCCTGTAATGAAAATACAGTAACAATGACGGGGCCTTTGCAGGTCCACGTTGTAAGAAAAATTACCACAAGGGATGCTTAAATATGTCTGAAGATCTATTGAGGAAAATATATCGAGCCACATAATCAAATTTGCGGACATGACAAGGTGCAAGTCAAGAAACTGTCGCAACCATGCAAAAAGATCTGCATGAGCTGTTCCAATGGTCGCAGGACATGCAAATGCTTTTATCATAACAAACTGTAAGACTACGTGTAGGATGCAATAACCAGAAGCACGACATTAATGTGAATATGACTCTCTTGGATACTGTTGATAAGGAAGAAGATCTAAGCGTCGTGACAGACCAATTACTAGAAACAACGCAACAAGTGGGAGCAGCAGTGAAAGAAGCTATCTGAACTTTAGGGATTATAAGTCGTACCTTCAAATACAAAGACAAGACAATGCTGCTTCATATCTGTAGGCTTTCGTACGTCCCCATCTGGACTACAACTGTATACAGGCATGGAAACCCTATCACCAGAAGACATAACATCCCGAGAAAAGGTGTAACACAGAGCGACTAGGATTATCCCTGGACAAAGTCGCCTCGATTATGCAAGTAGAACGAGTGCCTTCTTACCTTCACCACCACCCAGCCAGAGTTACCTCCACCACCACCACCCAACCAGTGTTACCTCCACCACCACCCAGCTAGTGTTACCTCCACCACCACCCAGCTAGTGTTACCTCCACCACCATCCAGCCAGTGCCACTCACCACTCTCCACCACCCAGCCAGTGTGTTACCTCCACCACCACTCCAGCCATAGTGTTAGCTTCCACCACCACTCCAGCTAGTGTTACCCACCACCACCCAGCTAGTGTTACCTCCACCACCACCCAGCCAGTGTTACTTCCACCACCAATGAGCCACTGTTACTTCCACCACCACTTGGCCATCACTGCCCCACCACCACCCAGCCAGTGTTACCTCCACCACCACCCAGCCAGTGTTACCTCCACCACCACCCAGCCAGTGTTACCTCCACCACCACCCAGCCAGTGTTACCTCCACCACCACCCAGCCAGTGTTACCTCCACCATCACCCAGCCAGCCAGTGTCATTTCCACCAGCCACCTCCCCAGTGTTGCCCACGGAGCAGGATTAACCCACAACGATAAGGGGAATACGTTGATGTCTGGCATCAGGGTCACCGAGAAGGGACCCACACTGTGCCTCTTGCATGAGCCAAAACATAGAAGGAGGCGACAGTCACCACCTGTTAGTAAGCTTGGTGAAGGCGCCAGAGCCTCTCATCACCACCACCAGCAGAAGGAGGGCGCCCCACTGATCTCGTTCCCTTGAAATTTGTGGGTCAGTCGTTTCTGGTACATGGGGTGTATTATATCACGCCTCCTTTCCGTATAACTTCTTATTCTTTCCTGTTCTGGACTCGATAACATTTCCTTTCTTTTTTACGCTATCTGGAGGTTAGGTTAGGTTAAGCTAGGTTAGATAACTGTGTCTAAATATCAGATGATCTTATATATTTTCTATGGTTTTGAAATATGTTGTCGCGTTTTGTACAAGGAATAAAGTTTACAGTGACACTTGCTGACACTTATGAGCTACGACCATGCATATGACACAGTGATGACCTGTTATAAGTACAATGTCTTGTTCTTACATCACCACACTCGTTCACGACCTCCTGGTGATGTTTTGTTCTTACATCACCACACTCGTTCACGACCTCCTGGTGATGTCTTGTTCTTACATCACCACACTCGTTCACGTCCTCCTGGTGATGTCTTGTTCTTACATCACCACACTCGTTCACGTCCTCCTGGTGATGTCTTGTTCTTACATCACCACACTCGTTCACGTCCTTCTGGTGATGTTTTGTTCTCACATCACCACACTCGTTCACGTCCTCCTGGTGATGTCTTGTTCTTACATCACCACACTCGTTCACATCCTCCTGGTGATGTTTTGTTCTTACATCACCGCACTCGTTCACGTCCTTCTGGTGATGTCTTGTCCTTGCATCACCACACTCGTTCACGTCCTCCTGATGATGTCTTGTTCTTACATCACCACACTCGTTCACGTCCTCCTGGTGATGTCTTGTTCTTACATCACCACACTCGTTCACATCCTCCTGGTGATGTTTTGTTCTCACATCACCGCACTCGTTCACGTCCTTCTGGTGATGTCTTGTCCTTGCATCACCACACTCGTTCACGTCCTCCTGGTGATGTTTTGTTCTCACATCACCACAGTCGTTCACGTCCTTCTGGTGATGTCTTGTTCTTACATCACCACACTCGTTCACGTCCTCCTGGTGATGTCTTGTTCTCACATCACCACACTCGTTCACGTCCTCCTGGTGATGTCTTGTTCTTCATCACCACACTCGTTCGTCCTTCTGGTGATGTCTTGTTCTCTATCACCACAGTCGTTCGACCTCCTGGTGATCTTGTCCTACATCACCGCACTCGTTCACATCCTCCTGGTGATCTTGTTCTCCACATCACCACACTCGTTCGTCCTCCTGGTGATGTCTTGTCACTACATCACCACACTCGTTCACATCCTCCTGGTGATGTCTTGTTCTTACATTACCACACTCGTTCACGTCCTTCTGGTGATGTCTTGTTCTTACTTCACCACACTCGTTCACGTCCTCCTGGTGATGTCTTGTTCTTACATCACCACAGTCGTTCACGTCCTCCTGGTGATGTCTTGTTCTTACATCACCACAGTCGTTCACGTCCTTCTGGTGATGTCTTGTTCTTACATCACCACACTCGTTCACGACCTCCTGGTGATGTCTTGTTCTTACATCACCACAGTCGTTCACGTCCTTCTGGTGATGTCTTGTTCTTACATCACCACACTCGTTCACGACCTCCTGGTGATGTCTTGTTCTTACATCACCACAGTCGTTCACGTCCTTCTGGTGATGTCTTGTTCTTACATCACCACACTCGTTCACGACCTCCTGGTGATGTCTTGTTCTCACATCACCACACTCGTTCACGTCCTCCTGGTGATGTCTTGTCCTTACATCACCACACTCGTTCACGTCCTTCTGGTGATGTCTTGTTCTCACATCACAACACTCGTTCACGTCCTCCTGGTGATGTCTTGTTCTTACATCACCACAGTCGTTCACGTCCTCCTGGTGATGTCTTGTTCTTACATCACCACAGTCGTTCACGTCCTCCTGGTGATGTTTTGTTCTCACATCACCACAGTCGTTCACGTCCTCCTGGTGATGTTTTGTTCTCACATCACCACAGTCGTTCACGTCCTCCTGGTGATGTCTTGTTCTTACATCACCACAGTCGTTCACATCCTCCTGGTGATGTTTTGTTCTCACATCACCACAGTCGTTCACGTCCTTCTGGTGATGTCTTGTTCTTACATCACCACAGTCGTTCACGTCCTCCTGATGATGTCTTGTTCTTACATCACCACAGTCGTTCACATCCTCCTGGTGATGTTTTGTTCTCACATCACCACAGTCGTTCACGTCCTTCTGGTGATGTCTTGTTCTCACATCACCACAGTCGTTCACATCCTCCTGGTGATGTCTTGTTCTCACATCACAACACACATCCCGGTGATGAAAGAGCGCGTGACCGTCTTGGTCTTACATCACCGCCCCACAGCTGATGGTCTGATTAGGTCAGTCGTCCCTCAGAGTGATTATATAACTCAATATACCAGGTAAATGTAGCAACTAGGTGGAACTGTTGCCTCTATAATGAATCTAATTATTACTACCTAATTACACTTTGCGAAAATGTTATACTTCAAGGAGATACTATACATGACAGAATTACTGCTATATAACTAAATAATAATAATAATAATAATAATAATAATAATAATAATAATAATAATAATAATAATAATAATAATAATTAATGTTTTGTGTATGAGTCTGTTTTATATTACGTTAAATTGATTCCAACTTACATAACCACTATTGTAACTTTTTAAAACTGATTTGATTTATATGGACGTAGAGAATGATATGGACGAGCTGTAGACACTGTCAGCCAATCAGAACGAAGATAAATGAAAAAGATGTATTTGTGTGGTGGGAATGTCGCGGGAGGCGGCTGGGTCCTCCGCCTCAGGTTGAACGATATCAAAGAACATACTGTATAAAGGCGAGGAGTAACAGTATATATGTTGAGCTGTGTACACGAGCTCATGTCAACATTTTTTCGACACACATGACAAGAATGTCAGGAAGCAGAAATAAATGGAATTGAACCAGTTAAGGCGGAGACAGTTTCGGCGGATATGTAAAAGTTAAGATTTTTCCTGGTACAGATATGATAACGAGTTCATGTTAACACCGTGTCCTACTGTGCTATACATAACAAAGTGTCGCGTGTGAACGTAAGGAAGCTGAGGTTTGATAACTGCTTGACCTGGAACTAGACCCGTGAGAGCAGCCAGGTGCCACCCTCAAGTATATCCTCTCGTCGTGGACCTCCGTTACATAACTCTCACCTACTTGTACCGTACATATACAACTCCAAGTCGTGTAACGTAGCCTATTGTCCTGTTATCCTGTCCACGAGCACGACTCCTCATTCTCTGTGGCAGAGAAGAATTTTAAGTCAATATCCCACTACGGGGATTTACCTGAGGTTTACATGTAATTCTAAATATTCTTCGTGCCATAAAGACCTTTACTTCAGGTGTATTTCGTAGATTAAGTACCAACGAGGCCGAACTATTCTTTTGCATATAAGTAATTGTACTATAAGCCTCCGAACCACTGGGAGGCTTCCCTTGAGGTTTAGAGTCAAGTACAGAGTTGAGCAGTAGTGTCACGACGGTGAAGATGGCAGGGAGTAGCCTGACGGTCCTACTGTTGGCAGCCACCCTGGGGGGAGCCGCTGCCTTCCTCGCCACGTCCCTCAACACCTCTGACCCTGATGTCGCCAGGATTTTGTGTCCTGAGCAGGTCAGTCTGTTGATAGTGTTACTCCTGGCGGTGCTGACGGTGAACAAGACTCGTATCACTCTGACCACCTATAGTTTTATATATATATATATATATATATATATCTTGATAAAATCACACGGGAAAAGGGAAACAACGGAGCACCTTAGCTTTCGTCATGTAATCCAGTTGCCTCTGAAGATGTCTTGAATAAAGACGAAAGCTAAGGTGCTCCGATGTTTCCCTTTTCCCGTGTGATTTTATCAAGATTTATCTTATCCACGTTTTCATTGTGGATTTACATGAAATATATATATATATATATATATATATATATATATATATATATATATATATATATATATATATATATATATATATATATATATATATATATACACACACACGAGTATATCACAGTCTTCATCACAACATTCTGCGAAGATGTCGTCTGGATCAACGTAAAGTTGTTACACAGATTTTTGAGTTACCAGTCATTTCTCTCATAAGTCAAGAAATGTGTGTTATACCTTCATCTTCCCTCCAACGTCCAAGTATCTCAACCCCCTCAAACACATAAAGACCTGTCTCACCCTCTCACACTGTAGCCATGACCACTGTAACCTGTCTCACCCTCTCACACTGTAGCCATGACCACTGTAACCTGTCTCACTCTCTCACACTGTAGCTGTGACCACTATAACCTGTCTCACCCTCTCACACTGTAGCCATGACCACTGTAACCTGTCTCACCCTCTCACACTGTAGCCAGACTGAGTCTCACCACTGTAGCTCCACTGTAACCTGTCTCAGCCATGACCCTCTAACCTGTCTCACCCTCTCACACTAGCCATGACCACTGTAACCTGTCTCACCCTCTCACACTGTAGCCATGACCACTGTAACCTGCACACTGTAGCCATGACCACTGTAACCTGTCTCACCCTCTCACACTGTAGCCATGACCACTGTAACCTGTCTCACTCTCTCACACTGTAGCTGTGACCACTATAACCTGTCTCACCCCACTCACACTGTAGCCATGACCACTATAACCTGTCTCACCCTCTCACACTGTAGCTGTGACCACTGTAACCTGTCTCACCCTCTCACACTGTAGCTGTGACCACTATAACCTGTCTCACCCTCTCACACTGTAGCCATGACCACTGTAACCTGTCTCACTCTCTCACACTGTAGCTGTGACCACTATAACCTGTCTCACCCTCTCACACTGTAGCCATGACCACTATAACCTGTCTCACCCTCTCACACTGTAGCCATGACCACTATAACCTGTCTCACCCTCACACTGTAGCCATGACCACTGTAACCTGTCTCACCCTCTCACACTCCATTACCACTGCAACCTGTCTCACTCTCTCACACTGTAGCTGTGACCACTGTAACCTGTCTCACCCTCTCACACTAGTAACCTGCCCTCACTGTCCACCACTATAACCTGTCTCCTCTCACACACTGTAGCTGCCACTATAACCTGTCTCACCCTCTCACACCTGTAGCCATGACCACTGTAACCTGTCTCACTCTCTCACACTGTCTGTGACCACTATAACCACCCAGCTGCACTATAACCTGTCTCACCCTCTCACTGTAGTCATGACCACTGTAACCTGTCTCCCCCTCTCACACTGTAGCCATGACCACTGTAACCTGTCTCACCCTCTCACCTGTAGCCATGACCACTGTAACCTGTCTCCACCCTCTCCAGCCATAGCCATGAGCCACCACTGTAACCTGTCTCACCCTCTCACACTGTAGCTGTGTAACCACTGTAACCTGTCTCACCCTCTCACACTGTGCCACTGTAGCCTGTAACCTGTCTCACCCTCTCACACTGTAGCTGTGACCTGTAGCCATGACCACTAACCTGTCTCACCTCTCACACTGTAGCTCCACTGTACCTGTAGTAGCCATGACCACTGCAACCTGTCTCACCCTCTCACCTGTAGCCATGACCACTGTAACCTGTCTCACCCTCTCACACTGTAGCCATGACCACTGTAACCTGCCTCACCCACCTCACACACTGTAGCCATGACCACTGTAACCTGTCTCACCTCTCACACTGTAGGCCGTGACCACTGTAACCTGTCTCACCCTCCCCGCACTGTAGCCGTGACCACTGTAACCTATCTCACCCTCCCCGCACTGTAGCCGTGACCACTGTAACCTGTCTCACCCTCCCCGCACTGTAGCCGTGACCACTGTAACCTGTCTCACCCTCCCCGCACTGTAGCCGTGACCTCTTTAACATGACTCTTCCTCTTCAGACCGAGGGCGTGACCCGAGACCACAAGTGGATCACCCGGGAGGCCATACGTCGTAACCTCCGTCAGTTCTTCATGGACAACCCGCCGCTGTCTGAGCCCGACTTCTACGTGCCACCCACAGCCACCCTGACTGAGCTGTACCACGCCTACTACGGTACCGCCTCATCGTCCGCGAGGTTCATCAAGGCTGTCAACTCCATCACTGCAGCCAATGTGAAAGCAGATTCAGCCACACAGCTCAGGTGCTTCACTCGCTGTAGATGGCCAGTTCGGGGTTGTTTAACTATCGTCTATATTAAAAAGAAGCCAATCACTTTCTTGACACTTCATTTCTCCTTAAATTGACAATAATTGGGAAATTAAATCTTGCGGTTTCTGTGACATCAGCTGTTGTTATTAAATAATGCTATTATTTATAAATATAAACCAAACACTAGTAACAACCCCTATCTACTATTGTTAACCAGTAATATCAACCAATGTCATTATTAACTTTGGCGGCAGACATGACCCAGACATTCAAGGGGACGGAGAGGACCTGGCGTCACTACAAGCGACGCTGGTGGACAGGTATCCACAGATCCAGACGTCCATCCTCGTGGCCGAAGCTTACCCGGCCGCCCGCTCCCTCCTAGGGCTTTCCCTCCACTCCCTCCAGAAGTTCTACGCGCACTCAACCTGGATCGAACAAGGCCACAAAGACATCCTGCCAGACCTCGGCCTCCCAGGCTTTGCCTTCGATAACCTGGCCGGCACAAACGAGGATGTGTGCAACGCGTGTCCCAGCCCTGAGGTAGGTCCTTAGGCCTCAAGTAGGTCCTCAGGGATTTAAGTAAGTCATCATGACCTAAAATAAGTCCTCAGGGTCTAAAGTAGTGTCCTCAGGGCTTTAAGTAGATCCTCAGGGCCTCAAGTAGGTTCTCAGGGATTTAAGTAGTTCCTCGGGGCCTTAAGTATTGTAAGTCCTCGTGGCCTCAAGTAGATTCTCGGGGATTTAAGTTGGTCCTCAGAGCCTCAAGTAGGTCCTCATGGCCTCAAGAAGGTCCTCAGGGATTTACGTAGGACCTCTGAGCCTCAAGTAAGTCTTCAGAGCTCTTAAAGTAGGTCCTCAGGGTCTCGAGTAGATCCCTTGGGTTTCAAGTAGGTCCTCACGGCCTCAGGTAGGTCCTCAGGGCCTCGAGTAGGTCTTCAGGTCCTCAAGTAGGTCCTCATGGCCTCAGGTAGGTCCTCACGGCCTCAAGTAGGTCCTCACGGCCTCAGGTAAGTCATCAAGGTCTCGAGTAAATCTCCTGGGTTTCAAGTAGGTCTTCAGGGCCTCAAGTAGGTCTCCAGGTCCTCAAGTATGTCCTCACGGCCTGAGGTAGGTCCTCACGGCCTGAGGTAGGTCCTCAGGGCCTCTAGTAAGTTTTCTGGCCCTCAAGTTGGTCCTTATGGCCTCGAGTTGGTCTTCAAGGCCTTAAGTAGGTCTTCACGGCCTCAAGTAGGTCCTCACAGCCTCAAGTAGGTCCTCACAGCCTCAAGTAGGTCTTCAGGGCCCCAAGTAGGTCTTCAGGGCTTCAAGTGGGTCCTCAGGGCCTCAAGAGTGTTCCCATCAAGGGTGAATCGTGATAAAGACAAGCTGTGATAGTCAGTAAAATTTATCCCATATAATAATAAGTTTCATGCGATTATCTTCACCTTTAATTTAGTGACTTCATCACACTATACAAGAGCATTTCCATTACAGAGTATTTGTTAAACGTTCACATATGATATGAAGTATATTATTTATTATAGTTAAAACTTCGACAAATAATAACTTTTTGTGTGTGTTTGTGTGTGTGTGTGTGTGTGTGTGTGTGTGTGTGTGTGTGTGTGTGCAGGGATGCTCAGGAAACGTGATAGTCGATGCAGGACTGAGCAGCGGGTACTACCACTATGACGACCCCTCGGCCAATCACTACCTTCTTCCCAAGCCCCACACAGGTACGTGAACACACTCAGCTCACTTGTATGTGAACACATTCACCACACCTGTACGTGAACACACTCAGCACATCTGTACGTGAACACACTCAGCACACCTGAACGTAAACACACCTACCACGCCTGTACGTAAACACACTCACCACACCTGTACGTAAACACACTCACTACACCTGTACGTAAACCACTCACCATACCAGTACGTGAACACAGTCATGATAACTTTGCAATGATTCATGTATAAACAGAATGCATTTTGAAATCTTTGCATCCATGATAATAAGTGAAGCATCACCTATAGTTTATTATTATTCACTAACTAACCAAGAAAAGTTGTAAGTTTTTGCGATTATGTGTCAGGTGGGAAGTGTAGCCACGGCGGGGTGTTGGATGACAGCTCCAGTGTACCAGCCCAGGGCGGCGTTAACAAGGACACAGCCTCACCCTGCTTCTCCCCCCACCACCACCTGCACCAACAGGCTGCTGAACTGGCTGTCCAGGTCAGTGACAGAAGAAAAGTAGACAGAGACGACAGATAGACAGATAGACAGATAGACAGGCAAACAAAGAGAGAAACAGAAAGGCAAACACAGAGACAGAGAGACAGGCAATCAGAGACAGGGACTGGCAATCATATACGGAGTCAAACAACGTCACATTGACAAGCAGAAAGATAGACTGGCAAACAGAGACAGATAGACAGGCTTACATTATCAATGAAAATATTTACCATAATTTGTCTCGCTTGAGAATCAAATTATCCTTATATCCTTCTTCTTGGCCAGGCGACGGACCATTACTTGTCGGTGCTGCTGGACGCCGTCGGCAACGAGAAATACCGACGGCTGTTCGACCTGTACCAGGGCTCAGCGCTCTCCATCATGATCGACACCACCGGCTCCATGACTGACGATATTGAAGCAGTGAAAGAACAAGTCAAGACCATTGTTGAGAACTTCAATCCTGAACTCTACGTGTTGGCACCTTACAACGATCCTTGTGAGTGAAGCGAGGAGAGAGAGAGAGAGAGAGAGAGAGAGAGAGAGAGAGAGAGAGAGAGAGAGAGAGATATTCAATATCTAGTTCTTAAGTTAAGCAGCTTTTCATAAACCAAGAATATTCTGAGTCACACTTGGGGTGATAACGTCACAATGAATCATTTGAGCATGTGACATGTTGATGAGGCTGTTTGTGTATGTGTGTGTGTGTGTTTGGTGACCCAACCTGACCAATCCTCATCCTTCCTGCAGACTGGGGCCCTGGAATGAGGACACACAACTCCTCGGAGTTCCTGAAGGCGGTCAATGCCCTTCATGCAGGCGGCGGCAACGCTTCCCCAGAGGAGATGTTTTGGTCTGGTCTTCAGGTATGACGTCACTCACTATTGTCTTTATGAATTCATATTTTGTCGCACATACGTCTTGAAACTTCTCCAGGATATGAACAATAAGAGATGACTCTGTGCCCCCACCAGCTTGCCCTCAGCCTCACGCCAAACTACGGTGATATCTTCTGCTTCACCGACGCCGGCGGTAGAGACGGAAACAAAATGGAGAGCAGTATTGCCAGGACGCAGCTACAACATAACAAGGTGAGTTCTCTCTCTCTCTCTCTCTCTCTCTCTCTCTCTCTCTCTCTCTCTCTCATACATGAGTAACCTGTCTCCATTCCACAGGTGTCAGTCATCTACAGCGGCATCATACGCAACCATGTCTCAGGCCTTGGGGATGTCCTGACGGAGGTTCAAGAATATCGACGTCTCGCTGACTCTACGGGCGGCCTCTTCATTCCCTCCGACAAGTTTAGCATCGACACCATCATGCCCATCCTGGTGGAGGGCGTGGAGAGCTCTAACGTGAGTTTTAACCTTGAGATTTATCAAAAGCTTCAGTGTGATTGACTGCGAAGAACCTTTTTTAAACTCGTAAGATGGACGATATCGTTAGTAACTACGAATACATTTATGATAACATTGTTCTTAGAGGAGATATACGAACTGAGTGGCGAAATTTTAGTAAGTGTTGCCTTAGAATACTGTACCTCTGTATATATAAAACAATAGCACACACGAGTTCATCTTTCATCTCTGGCGGCCCCACAGGTGGACATAACCCAGCTGAAGGAAATGACGGGACCCCAACACGTCCAGCTGCCCATCGACGACTCTGTCCACGACTTTGAGATTCATTTAACTGGTGAAACCACAACCGCTCTACTGAAAGATATGACTGGTGAGATGACCCGTAATGGTAATGGTGATGGCGGTGACATTTTGAAGTATTCTAATCTGTGTCACATGATGGGAGGTTCAGTGTGAATAATTCCATTACTTTTATGACCAGTGGTGAGTGAGGTAGTCTACTGAGGCGGTGTTTCTCTCTCAATTACATTTTCATAATACCTCAGAGACCTTGTCACCGTATAAACACATCTTACCTTCAGCAAATATTGAGTTCCCTCTAACTTCTCTCGCCTTCACCTTCACCCTCACTTTCACCCTAACCGTCACCTTCACCCTCACACTCCCCCTCACCTTCCCTCGCTACTGCAGGCACCGAGTACGACTTGATGGACCAGGCAGCTCTCGAAACGGACCCCAAGGTAGAGATCGTGGTCTACAGCAACGGCCTTAAAGCCATCCGGTGGAAGGATCCTCTCTATGGCCAGTGGAGCCTCCATACTGACTCCGTCTCCACCTACAGTATCGCCGTCAGTGCCAACTCTACGCTAAGTTTCCTAGGCGGGTTCTCCGTCCTGGACCCGTCGCCGCCACATCCACACTACCGTGCAGCTGAAGGCAACCCGCTCATCAGTGAGTTTATTGATTGTTCCTCTGATAATATTTTTTATCGAGTGAAAGTCAAATTACGTGTGAGACTTTGTGTCATTTTATATCTTACTTGTTTCTGTTTATCAGTTGGCAAAGATTGGCGGAGAACTTTATCCTGAGCAAGTTGACTTTATCCCCAGACACTGTGTATTACCTGGATGTGACGCTGATTGGTTACCTGGAGAATGACGTCATAGATGTTAGCAAAGTTGAATATGTTGACAAGGTAAGTTCCTGAACGTAAGTACTAGATTTTAACTTACTGTGAGTTTCTCCATGTTTAAGGTATGTGCTGTACGACTACCGTATATATTAATGTTTCTTCTTAATTACACAATGTTTATTCCATCTCTTGCAGGCGGGGACAAAGCTGAGGGAAATCCTTTACCACGGTGACGTTGACGACGAGTTCTACATCCGGTCAGAACCACTTCCGGAACAGCCCTTCTACGTCAAGCTCTTCGGCCACGTCCACTCCGGTAAAACCTCTCGCCTATTCCGATAAACTCTTAAAGTCCTCTCCTGTAGTGTATCTAGTCTCTTGAGCCTGCACGCAAGTATCGCCTCCTTCTTGACACCTACTGAACCTTGTACTGTCCATTGCATATATATCCAACCTTTCTCTGCTCGCACAGCTGAAAAAGTATTAAATCTTTTTCATGGATTTACTGAAGATCTTCTTTCTTATGGGAATATTAGTTTGTCTGAGAGTTGATCCTCTAGTCTCAGCGCAACAGTTCTTGCTGATGCACGAGACACACCGCCAAATTTCTACTCTTGTTTTTAAATAATATGTCTATCTAATGATGCTAAAATCTACTTACTGAGAAATCCTCTTTCATTAACTTTATGGTGCTTTTACATATTGGACCCTTAAACTTTACTCCCTCCACCAGGCAACGTATTCTGTCGCCTCCTGTCGGTGCTGATAACGCCTGTAGAAACGAAAGTCGGAGTGTTGGCCACTTCTGAAGACCTGGCAGCTCGCCCCGGGTACTCCGCTAACGCAGACTTCCTCATTACCAACTACGGCCTCAGCTCCTACTTCCACATCACCGGCATAGATGATATGGGCTTCCTCAAGTACCTCGAGACTGACAGGTCAGTTACTGTGTGTGTGTGTGTGTGTGTGTGTGTGTGTGTGTGTATGTGTGTGTGTGCAATCCTCCACACGCCCACCAGCTGTACTCGTGACTTTCCCCCCTCAGGATGTACATCACACACAACTCCTCCAAAACGCTGGCCGCCCACTTCGATGTCCCTCGGAGCTCCGTGCCGGGGACAGTGAGCATGGTGACCATCACAGCCCAGAGTGAAGAACAAACACAGTCCGTCAACAGTGCTATCTCACAGTTCGTCGTACTCCCAGAGGTCCGTCTGTTACCCTCCATAAAGTATATTTACTACGAGACGCCGCCCAACAGATGTGATATATTACTACGGCCATGATATATTATTTCATGTCCTCAGGCCGGTCATTTTGAAGTATATAAGTGGTATATTCGTGTAATGAGCCATAATTCAACTTTCGTTTCTACTGTCATGACCATCTCTTATTGACTGTGTGTGTATTTGTGTATTGTGGAGTAGAGGAAGGACGTGGACCCCCCCACCTGTGTTCTGGCGAGCCAACCTGACTGTACCGGCTATGATCTGAATGGTCTCTGCTCCCATAACAACTGGACCACTCAGGCTACCCTTCAGGACGACTTCTCAGGTTAGTATTAACCTCGGCGAGAAAAGATGACAATCTGTTAACATCAATTATTTTCCAAAATAGTAAGTCAAGCCATAAAAAATAGGTCCATCTACGTCCTTGTGAATGGTAAGAAACAACACAGGGAGGAAAGGACGTCGCGACCTCACCTGGAGTTAAAGACAAGTCCTCCTGATGGTGCAGAAGGAGGGATAAATGCCAGCAGGAGAACAGAACATCCTTGCCTCCAACACTCAATGAATTTTTAGTGGAGTAAAGGTCATTTACCAGTGTCGTCACATGACCTCAGCCTAGCTCCCTTCACCATAGCCTCTCTACCCGCCAGGGTGACTCACAATGGTTCTTACGATGAACATTAATTGTAAGTGAAGATGTAATGTAAGAATGCGCATAACTTAAGTACTAAATCAATGTGCAACAATAGCATCGAAATTACACTTGAACTTTCCTTTAACTAGATACACTCACTCAGCATCAGCCAGGACAAAGAATTGACGTCTACCTGTCAGATGATAAATGAACTTATCTAATTCAAGTAGATCTCTGTGTAATTTGAATCAATTCTTACATTTTATTTCTATGTTTGTTTTTCCAGGGAAGTCAAACATTTAGGTGATTTCTTCCTTCACAAGGAATATTCACCGTAAGAACCTTAATGAATCCGACTCCACATTAGTTGTCTTCTGTGAGTGGTAAAGATGTTATAAAAGCGATGTTCGTGTTAATTCCAGTTTGTGATTTTTCCCGAAGTTAAAGTCTCTATCTCCGCCAGGTTTGGTGAACGTGTACGCTCGACCTGTCGGGTTGTCGACAAGTGTGGAGGGGTTGAAACCAGGCACGAAGGGGGAGGTTGTGCTCACCTACTGGGCCTCATGCTGCACCTCGCAGGTAGAGATCATCGGTGTCGACTCCTCAGGCAACGTGGGCAAGTGTATTGTTGACATGGGAACTGTTGGAGGTGAGTTACACACAAATCAATAGGCAGTTCTAAACTTATTGTACGGCAGAGAAAGTTGCTGTACTTGGGGCTCTATCGTCGTATTCATGATGTGAAGTTGTGTTGTACTGATATGAAAAGCTTGTGGTCCTCAAATTATTAAAATACTACACTGAAGAGGTCGAGTTACTCTTCCTAAGGGGATAAGGCTTTGTACTCAAAGTTAATATCCTTAAGGAGTAAGAAGAATGTGTGTTCATAGGGATTAATCATTGAACTTAAGATGTAAACATTCGTCTTCAAGATGTTAAACATAAACACCGCTTACCCTTCTCGCCTGGGCAGGAATGGTGGTAGATCTTGAGGCGGTGTCTGTGGGCGTGACGTGGGTGGAACTCAAGTGGAGCATCACACCCACTAATTACGAGGTCCACAAGTTCTCGCTCCTCATCAACGACGATTTCTCCGTGGACATGCGCTGCATGGAGGTCAGTGGGCAGGTCCCCTTCATACAAGCTACTTAAACGAAACCGCATGCGTGACTGAGCGAGTCTTACGAACTCAATTTATTTTATCCCAGTGTATCAGTTTCATCCTAAGACAGTCAGTAATAATGATATAACTATAAGACTCGTCTAAGAAACTTGAGAAAAACAACATTCTTGTCATCTGAGAATTGAGGATCACCATGACTTAACCACTTTATATTTCTGATACTGTTTGGCCTCCCCAGAACTGTACTGTTTATATGTTGTTCATTAGTGTAATTGCATCGGGTTACACTTATTTACACGATTCTGTTTGTGTAAGCTTTCTTGCGTATGACGACACTCTTTTTAAACACAAATATCATTAACCCAAAAGTAAACATTGAGAGTTAAGAAATTCCGAGAATTATACAGATTATCTACAACACAGCGGCCATAGTAGATGTGTTAATAGCATCCTTTCGTCTTGTTGTACAAAACTAATCTATGATCTCTTAAGTTACGATGATGAAGAAGCGTCCAGACCAACAAGCCCTAATCCAAAGTTGTTCTCGGCGGACACGTCTCATCATTCTTTACAGACTGTGTGTTTCTACAACGCGACCTACCTTGACCCCTGCTCCCTCCAGACCTTCCGGTTGACGCCTCACTTCTACGTGAGAGGCGTCGACCAGATAGGTCAGCCAGCCACCACGCAGGCCACCACAGCTGACGAAGGTAACCACCCACCACCCCCCTTTGTCTGTACTCTCACACAGATGCTATGGATGGTTACTTGGTGTGATATAATCCCCCTGAGCCAATTCTTCACATATAATTTAGGTGGAAAAATGGACAATTGTTTTTAAGAAGTTTAATTAAAATTCACAACCATCAATCACATGGTTGCTCGAAATTAACATACACATTCCATCGTGCTTCAGATAAGCTGAAAATACAGTTAAAACCCTCAGACACCAATACCTTCTAGCCTGTATTAATATGAATATAATATACGAGTATATCCCGTGAACGTCTCAGTCTAGCTATAAACCTAATCTAAACTATAGACTCAAAAATAATTGGGTTTGGAACGCCTGTGATCAAACACACTTGAGACTTCACCAAGCACTTCCTCCTTCTATAACAACATGACGTCTTCTTCAGATCCAGGAACCCCGATCAATGGTGTGGTGTTGTCAGCGTCGGTGGACACTGCCAACATCACATGGGAGGCCCCCAACACTAAATGCTTCAGTTACTTCAAGGTTAGTCTGGAGGCAACAGTGTTCATGGGGTCCAGGACTCATAGATTCTTCACCTGTATGGTTTATCTTCGCTTGACTCACCTTACCTGAATATCCACCTGATATTTTTTTGCATTGTACCCACCCAGTCATCATCCCACTTACCGACCCCTCTGTCCCCCAGGTGTGCTATCGGCCGTTCGGATTTTATGCTGAAAAGGTGTGCGAGAAGACGTCGAGCACAAACTACCTAATGCGAGGCCTGGAGGCTTGTGCCGTGTACGAGATCACCGTGACCAGCATCGGTCCTTCAGGTGACGAGAGCAAAGATTCCCTCGTCTTCAGCATCAACACACAGGAGACAGGTCAGCCATAAGTCTCTTGCTAACAGATGTAAACATTCACACACCTCTGTTGCTCACTTTTGTTATGGCATGAAGATGGTGGAGAAGTTATTATTTTCAAAGCCAAAAGTTTCGTAAAGTCAAATTATGTGCGTGTGTGCGTCTATGTGTAAGTGTATACTTGTGTATGTAAGTATTTATCTACCTGCCTATAAATTAGTAATAATGAATTTATGCATTTATAAGTGCGTGGGTTTTTTCTCTTTTTTTTTTTGCGGGATTAGCCCACCCGGGCACAGGTCGCTGACCCACATCAGGGCCCGGGGGGCGAAAATCTAATAATAATAATAATAATAATAATAATAATAATAATAATAATAATAATAATAATAATAATAATAATAATAATAATAATAATAATAATAATAATAATAATAATAATAATAATAATAATAAATACGAAAATGAAAAGAAAAAATCAAGAGTGAGAAACTATATTCAGTATGTTGTGTTGTCTATAATACGAGAAACAATTGAGACCCTGCATTTGTGTGTAAATGAGACAGAAAGACAGATCAGCAACCTGGGACTTGGTTACAATTTTTTTGATGCCATATGGCAGCAGGGTCTACCATTAGACAACACATTATGTGTGTGTACAAGTGTATATGCGTGTACATGTGTATGTGTATATAACATGTGTGTTTGTACTTGCATATGCGTGTACTATAAGTATGCGTGTGGGGGCGTATCCATACTATATGTGAACATGCCTGTAGATGTACTTAAACATGATGTTTGTACTTGCGTGCTTTTGCAGGATGTGTGTGCGTTGATATGTGTTTACGTGTAAGTAGGTGTAGGTTTACTCACCGTGTACGTCATCCACAGCACCAGGAGCCCCGAGGAACGTGGTGGTCGTTCTGTCTACCCCAGACACCATCACCATCACCTTCGACGATCCCCTCAACCACGCCCAGTGCGCTAACCTGTAGGTCACCACACCTGAAGTGTTGCTTAATTAAATAAGTCATCATACCTGTATTGTGTTCCTTTATGCTCTCGCGTGTGTTTTCAACTCTCTCTCTCTCTGTCCTTCACCACCCAACTCTACCTTCCTCTCAAACTCACGTCGACCCCCATCACTAATATCCAAACCCTACTCTCCGTGTATCTCTCCAGGTACAACGTCGACTACAGGAAGACAAATCAAACACTACAGGTGGATGAGGTGATGACTGCAGGGAGACAGGAGACGGCGCTGGTAGGAAAGGTCTCCGACAGCGACAACATAGTAACGATCTCGGACTTGGACCCCTGCACAAACTACACCATCTTCGTCGCCGCCGTCTCCTTCTCAGGCTTTATGGGTCCCTACGCGGAGAGAAAGACCGCCACTAATGAGACAGGTGAGAGAACTTTAGCTACTCCAACTCTCTCAGAAGGCTCCAAGGTGTCACCAGTCCACGGAGCCTTCAAGAGTTCTTATCATAGTGATTCAGATATCTTATAGTACCTTCCTATAATACTGGTGTTTAGTATATTTACACACTAACTACCACTGCCACTTCACTACCATTAACTACCACTGCCACTTCACCACCACCACTACCACTGCCACTTCTACCACCACCACTAACCACCACTGCCACTTCACCACCACTAACTACCACTGCCACTTCACCCCCACTAACTACCACTGCCACTTCACCACCACCACTAACCACCACTGCCACTTCACCACCACTAACTACCACTGCTACTTCACCCCCACTAACTACCACTGCCATTTCACTACCATTAACAACCACTGCCACTTCACCACCACTAACTACCACTGCCACTTCACCCCCACTAACTACCACTGCCCCTCAGAGCCCAGCGCCGTCTCCTCACTGTCCTTGGAGGAGATAACAACTGGATCTATGAAGGTGACGTGGCAAGCGATCATGAGTTGTGTTGACCACTTCCATGTATGTTACTACAGCACGCAGGTGAGTCTTTTTTTCTCATTGTACCTGTAATTCTGTAGATCACTCACCCTGTAATTATGTAGTTCACTCACCCTGTAATACTGTAGTTCACTCGTGGTCAAGCTACCCGAGAGGCGAGGGCCCTTGACTACCATCTTAACATATACAGGTACTAAAAATAATCTCTCTCTCTCTCTCTCTCTCTCTCTCTCTCTCTCTCTCTCTCTCTCTCTCTCTCTCTCTCTGCTACAGGAGCCGGGTAACAAGTGTCTGGATACCACCAACAGCAAGGCGACCTTTACAGACCTTCTGCCGTGTGTCCAATACTTCGTGTCGGTCACAGCTTACTCCCCCTCCGGCCACCACAGCAATGTCACCTGGCAGACCCACAGCACCTTAGAACTCGGTAGGTCATGGTGTTGTGTTGCATGGTGAGGTGTTGCATGATGGTGTTTTGCATGGTGAGGTGTTGCATGATGGAGTGTTGTATGGTGGGGTGTTGCATGATGGTGTGTTGCATGGTGGGGTGTTGCATGATGGTGTTTTGCATGGTGAGGTGTTGCATGTTGGTGTGTTGCTCATGATCAATGTAACAGTGCTTGTGCAAATATTTCCTGGTAGGTATGTAATGAGTCTGTATACTAATGAGTAATTTACTGGACAGCGCCTGGTGAACCACAGAACTTGACGGTGGTGAAGGCGACCCCTCATACCGTCGACGTCAAATTCGACCCACCAGTGATCAATCCTCAGTGTATCGCTGAATATAACTACGATATCTACTTCTTAGACAACAATGAATTACGTGAGGAGGGAGGACAGGGGAGCCATTCATTAGAAAACGTCTTTGAGAACCTGGATGCCTGTACCACCTACATGATGAAGGTCCGCGCGGTTTCCAGGGGGCAGTTGGCCAGTGACTGGGTCACTACCAGAACTACCACCACTGAGGATGACCCAAGCGAGCCTCGGCTGTTTGTGCTGCAGGAGGCGACAGAAACGAGTTTGGAAGTGACTTGGTGGGCCCCAGAGTTAAACAGCAAATGTGTCAGCTCTTACTACCTGGAGTGGACAACCCCTGATGGGAACACTGACTCTGACACCATCACTCCACCTCCCGGCGAGGTCCTCCCCTTCGTGGTAGATAAGCTCATAACAGGTCTGAAGAGTTGCACTACTTATACCCTGAAGGTGTCTACCAAGACACCCTTGGGTAGTTCTGGCCCCATTGCCAGTCTCTCTGCCTCCACTCTCTGTTAAGACTGTTCATAATGCAGAAGTACCTTAATTTTGGTTTTGTGACTCTGTTAGTTCAATGTGCCCTATGGTAGTAACATTTGTGAGAGCTAATAACTGTGTAGAGGGTGGCCGTTATCCCCATTAACAAAGATCTACTTTATTGCAATACAGAAAACGTGTTACAAGCGCTATTAAATATGATTTTTAAAAAATATATGAAAAACATGACATTTAGTAAGGAAGATTTTAATTACCGTACTTCCTCCTAAATGTTTTCCACAATATAATATTCAGTCCTTCACCGGAAGGAAAGAAGATTACAAGTGACAACGCTTGACAGCATTGTCAATCATGTGGATGTTATTGTGTACTCTGATTAATTATTATCTGAGACCTTGAACTCTGCGTTATTATTTATTGTCAGCTATTCAAAAAAATTTGTCAGGAATCTCTTGTTTCTTAACACGACTACTAAAGATTCAACTTTCTGAATAGCGGCGAAGCTTTAATGACTTTGCCTTGTGAGAGACAGAGCTTAGCTTGGGTAATGCTCAGGAGGTCGTCCTACTCACTGTGGCATCCGCACTTGGTGGTCAGACACGTCCTTTTGACTCTGATTGCAACGCTGTATTAGATGTTGGTGTTCATAGCCACTCACATATAAGCTAACAAGGAGAGTATTATTGTTAATTTTAATCATTTCTTCTCTCACTTCATTTGCTTACCATGAATTTCTTCTTTTTATATTATAAAAGAAAATATTCAACTTCCTATTTTCGTCGAGGCGACACTTGTGCAGCTGTAGATGTAGGGTCTCTCAGCCTTGTGAAGGATCTACACATCGACACTGATATTTATTTTGTGAACACATCGTTAACTTATCAATAAAAGAAGAATTATCGTATCTCCTTCCCTAAAACCTCACTTTATGTATACTCATTTATGTTTCAGGATTGTGACTCTTAAGAGTAATTGTTTATAATATTTCGGCTATAAAGTTTGAGGAGTCTTATTGCATGATTAGTTCCTGCGATATATCATGATCCTGAAATATGGTTGAGTAACAAACGACGTTGTAGACTCAGCTGACAGTAAACAACAACATTACTACTAGACCAATAGTAGAATATTTCCACGCTCTTGAGGGAAATGTCGGAGCCCAAACGTTCCTCCAACGTGTCTCATCGTAAGTCCCCCGCACAGTTCATGCTTCGAAAGATGTCTATTTATTTTTCAGGCAAAAATCTGTCTTATTATGGCAATAAGAAGGACTATGTCCATTGTACTCTAAAGTCCTCAACAACACCACTTAACGTCTCGAGCATTCCAGAATCCCTCTTCCATTTTAGGTAAAGTCGATTAACAAAACAAATGTCTTTCAAAGATATGTTTTATGTACATGTAACTTCCATAGGTACAATTATGAGAATCTAGTGCAAAGGTAGCGCTTCCTGTGTTACGTACTGTAAGAGTAGTTATAAGAGTCGGACTCCTGTGTCTCGCCTCTCTCGCATGTCAACTTCGTTTTTCAACATTGTCATTACAGAAACTTACTGTGTTGGCTTCTATAAAACACACTGCTGGTAAACCGTCAAAAGATATGATGTTTGTTTTTTATAACCGAAGATAGATTTATATGGTAATGATAAGTAAATTAGTAAAAAATAATGCTATTCTCTGAGGTGTTGTTGCCAATTGGATATTTGTGGTTATGTTGGCATCCCTGACACTTGTTTTTGGTCGTGCTGGCACCCCTGACACCTGTTTGCGGTCATGTTGGCACCCCTGACACCTGTTTGTGGTTATGTTGGCACCCCTGACACCTGCTAGTGGTTATGTTGGCACCCCTGACACCTGTTTGTCGTTATGTTGGTACCCCTGACACCTGTTTGTGGTCATGTTGGCACCCCTGACACCTGTTTGTGGTTATATTGGCCCCTGACACCTGCTAGTGGTTATGTTGGCACCCCTGACACCTGTTTGTCGTTAGGTTGGCACCCCTGACACCTGTTTGTCGTTATGTTGGCACCCTGACACCGTTTGTCGTTATGTTGGTACCCCTGACACCAGTTTGTGGTTATATTGGCACCCCTGACACCTGCTAGTGGTTATGTTGGCACCCCTGACACCTGTTTGTCGTTATGTTGGTACCCCTGACACCTGTTTGTGGTCATGTTGGCACCCCTGACACCTGTTTGTGGTTATATTGGCACCCCTGACACCTGCTAGTGGTTATGTTGGCACCTGACACCTGTTTGTCGTTAGGTTGGCACCCCTGACACCTGTTTGTCGTTATGTTGGCACCCCTGACACCCGTTTGTCGTTATGTTGGTACCCCTGACACCTGTTTGTGGTTATATTGGCACCCCTGACACCTGCTAGTGGTTATGTTGGCACCCCTGACACCTGTTTGTCGTTAGGTTGGCACCCCTGACACCCGTTTGTCGTTAGGTTGGCACCCCTGACACCTGTTTGTCGTTATGTTGGCACCCCTGACACCCGTTTGTCGTTATGTTGGTACCCCTGACACCTGTTTGTGGTTATATTGGCACCCCTGACACCTGCTAGTGGTTATGTTGGCACCCCTGACACCTGTTTGTCGTTAGGTTGGCACCCCTGACACCCGTTTGTCGTTAGGTTGGCACCCCTGACACCTGTTAGTGGTTATGTTGGCACCCGTATGATTATTTCTAAGTGTTGAGAATAATACCTTGCCTTCCATTATTTTATATATCTATCTATCTATTTAGTGGTGATGGTAGTAGTAGTAGTAGTAGTAGTGCCGGTAATAGTAGTAGTAGTCGTACGGTCGTAGTAGTAGTAGTAGTAGTAGTAGTAAGAAGAAAATTTTTAATCCTTATTTAAATCTTTCCTACAAAATAAATCTCGGTGATCTTCGTTATTACTTAGTAATAATGAAGATCACCGAGATTTATTTTGTAGGAAAGATTGAAATAATGATTAAAATTCTTCTTCTTCTTACTACTACTACTACTACCGGTACTACGACTACTTACGTGGCCTCCATCCTCCCCCAATAGCCACACCTTCGCCGCCATTTTATTATCTTAAAATTAATATCCTAATACTACTATTACTCTACTACTACTATTACCGGTACTACTACTGCTACTACTGACGAGCCGACCATTTGATGAAGAGGATAAAAGAAAAGAAAAGTAACAGAAACGTGACCGATCGCCCAAGCGGCTAACGAGCCGATCAGTGGTGAATTGAATTGAATTGTAACAGTTTATTTAGCCAGAAAAACACAGATACAGAGTGGATAATAATAACAATATTAACATGGCTGAGCCAGTTGAGAGCCTGAGCTCTCTTTGAGGCACCTGATATATACTATACATTTATCTCAAGGAAGTATTATGTAACATTTAGTATCGAACAGTACAATAGCATGATAGTAATAAGTACTTCTCATAATGTTACCACGGTTATCACTTCAATATTTATTTATTTTATTATTTATTATTTTTTTTATTTATACATACATATACACATACCTATATATATATATATATACACATACATACACATACACATATACATATAAATTAGAGTGGAATTTAAAAACTTGGGTTGTGCAGTAATAAGGTTGAACAAGAGGACAGAGCTCTCAGGATTATGTCTAGTTGGCAAATATGTGTATTGCAATGGTAATTACTTATTTATTTACATGATAATTTCCGATAAAACGGATTTGGTGGTACAATAAAAGCAGGTACTGTAAATATAGTAAGTGTTACAAGAAATATTAATACTTCGACAATAGATATTTTTTTAGAGATGATTTAAAGGAAGGGAGCGTAGTCTTTGCTCGGATGGGTGGGGTAAGTTGTTCCATACCTTCACACCATGATATTTTATAGAGGTCTGGGACTGAGAGGAGCGCATGGGGGGTGGTCTTAGTAGCTCTGGGTGCCTTAAGTTGTATCTCTGATTATTCCGTAACTGGAAGTAATTATTGTCAAGCAAGTGATTGATAGATTTGTAAACAAAGAGGGCACAGCAGTAAGTGTTAATATCTTCGAATTTTAAAAATTTCAATATAGCAAATTTTTCGTTTGTGTGATCTGTTTTTTTCAAGTAGGTCATTGTCCGTACAACTCTCTTTTGTGCAGTAACCAGAGATTGTGTTTTTGAAGAGCCAGAGGCCCCCCATAGTGTGTGACAGTGTATCAGGTGTTGGTAAACAAGATCATGATAGATTTCTTTCATTGCTGTGAGAGTGAGTGACTGTCGAGTGTGATACATGATACCGCACTGTTTATTGATTTTACTGTGTATGGCTTGTATGTGGTTTCTCCAGTTAAGTTTCTCATCAACAATAACTCCGAGCAATTTAGTATTTTGTTCGCGTTTGAGGACCATATTACCAAGGTACAGGGGGTTCAAGTCTGGAGGTAAGTTTTTTCTTCTGTGAAAGATCGTGTAGTGGGTTTTCTCAAGATTTAGGGTCAGTTTATTACGTATTACCCAGGTCCCGACTTTAGTTAATTCAGTGTTCATAGTTCTCATCAAGGAATGGAGGTCTGAGTTGCTGGCATAGAGATTACTATCGTCTGCAAATAAGTTGTATTTTATGAGTGGGCTGGCGTGGACTATGTCGTTTATGTACAACAAAAACAGTACTGGACCGAGAATTGAACCTTGGGGGACTCCATACAAGATAGGCGAGGAGTCAGATTGGTGGTTATTATAACAGACATACTGCATCCTGTTGGACAGATATGAGGTAAACCAATTGTGGGACAGGCCCCTAACGCCGTAATGTTCAAGCTTTGACAGGAGGATGGTATGGTCGACAGTATCGAAGGCTTTAGAGAGGTCCAAGAATATACCGACTGTGAACTGACTGTCATCAAAGGAATTTAAGATGTCATTAGTAAAGGATGGCAGAGCACTCTCAATCGACCTTCTAGCTCTAAATCCAAACTGGGAGTCTGTAAAGATGTCATTGGCATTGCAGAAGGAATTTAGTCTATTACATGCTAGCTTTTCCAGTATCTTACTCAAGGCTGGGAGGACTGATATGGGGCGGTAGTTCTTGAAGAGACCTTTGTCCCCAGATTTTTTATATGACGGGTGGACTTTAGCAATTTTCAGTTTATCAGGAAAGACACCACTAATGAAAGAGGAGTTACAAATGTGGAGGAGAACAGGTAGTAATAAGTGGGCCACTTCTTAATGATGCTCATTGGTATATTGTCTTCGCCTGCTGCTGCAGCTTTGGACATTTTTATGATGGCCAGTAATTCATCTGCTGTGACAGGGGATAAGAATAGTTCATTTTGCTGTCTGTTTTGCAGGTAGGCTCTAAATTCCTCATGGTGATCAGGGATGCTCTCTGCAAGATTTTTCCCAACATTAATAAAATATTCATTGAAGTGGTTGGCAATGAGGATAAAAGTAAAAGTAAATAAATACTACTCACCAATATTCTGTCGTCCGTCTATCTACTGTAGTTCTGTTAATTCTATTTAATGACCAATGTCGTCTTCAATCCACATCGATATACTGTAGTGTCATAATGGATGTTTATATATTTTTAGCTGTTTCGTGTTCTCTGGGAGTTTTTTTTTCTATAACCACCTTACCACGGCTACCAAAGTAACCAAATGCTTGTGGCTCCACTCTCACTCTCTGCACAGACACCAATACCGTTTTGGCCGACTGTATCATAAACTGACACACGATGCAATGTTTTTGAATCAATTGTGTGATTCTTCTGATACGGTTTGGAAAACGGTAAAGAAAATGCATACAAACATACATTCTTTGAAATGTAGAGTAGCGAAAAAGTCCTGTCAGTCCTCCGCCATGAACCCTGAGACTAATGAGCCTGTGAATCCGAGACATGGGCCCAACAATGTGTGACGTCTCGGATTCATAGGTTCATGAGTCATACAAGTAGGTCAGAGGACTGATTGGACTTTTTTCGTAACTACATTATCATATCCTTCCTGAACCTGTACAGATCAGTATTGCCATATTAAGTATAAAGTTTAGAAATACAAAAACAATTGGGAATTTCTATGTTGCATACGTTAACTATGACGCAATATGGAAGTAATAAGAATATTATATTGACATATAGGGCACTTATTTGATTCTTTGAGACAGCGACGTAAGCAGTCTGCGTGGAAGAAGTGTTGGCAAGGTGTGATGCGCGCGCAGGTCATGGGCGTAAGACAGATGGCGCATACGTCGTCATGATCCTTCACCTCAGAGCGTGTAGCAACCCTGTACCCTGCCAGAGCTTCTAACTCATTCTGTAATGGCTGTATATATCCATCACTAAGTTCCCGATATTTTACACGAATATTTGTGAAGCTGCAGAGGATAGCCAGTCTTAAATTGCCCGTGAAAATACAGAGAAAGGTGATAAAAGACGATAATAAGATCTGGAACGATATGAGAATCGCTGGGCAGTAAAAGTTCTCCATGCTTTCAAAGCAATCAAACTTCCTGTTATCTAACCACAGGGTAAACATGTCCACAAACACTTTCTCTGTAGAGATGAAGTAGATGCCGGTGATGGTGAGGTACCCGTTGGTTGGGGAGTAGTTCTTGAGACCCTTCTCCAGCCCGAACACGAGGAGCATGAAGACGACAGTGATGATGAAGGTGATGGCCTTGGTCCACTCGAGGACGATCTTGGTGGTAGAGAGGGCCAGGTGGCGTACGTTGGAGTTCCTGGCGATGTTTATGTACATAGACCAATCCTCGCGCTCCACCAGTTCCTGCGACACATAACACAAGGGCGAGTGAGGACTTTAGTAGTAAGTTATCACCAGCTCCTGTAACACATAACACAAGGGCGAGTGAGGACTTTAGTAGTAAGTTATCACCAGCTCCTGTAACACATAACACAAGGGCGAGTGAGGACTTTAGTAGTAAGTTATCACCAGCTCCTGTAACACATAACACAAGGGCGAGTGAGGACTTTAGTAGTAAGTTATCACCAGCTCCTGTTACCATAACACAAGGGCAGTGAGGACTTTAGTAGTAAGTTAGCTCCTGTAACACATAACACAAGGGTTGAGGACTTTAGTAGTAAGTTATCACCAGCTCCTGTAACACATAACACAAGGGCGAGTGAGGACTTTAGTAGTAAGTTATCACCAGCTCCTGTAACACATAACACAAGGGTGAGTGAGGACTTTAGTAGTAAGTTATCACCAGCTCCTGTAACACATAACACAAGGGCGAGTGAGGACTTTAGTAGTAAGTTATCACCAGCTCCTGTAACACATAACACAAGGGCGAGTGAGGACTTTAGTAGTAAGTTATCACCAGCTCCTGTAACACATAACACAAGGGCGAGTGAGGACTTTAGTAGTAAGTTATCACCAGCTCCTGTAACACATAACACAAGGGTGAGTGAGGACTTTAGTAGTAAGTTATCACCAGCTCCTGTAACACATAACACAAGGGCAAGTGAGGACTTTAGTAGTAAGTTATCACTAGTTCCTGTAACACATAACACAAGGGCGAGTGAGGACTTTAGTAGTAAGTTATCACCAGCTCCTGTAACACATAACACAAGGGCGAGTGAGGACTTTAGTAGTAAGTTATCACCAGCTCCTGTAACACATAACACAAGGGTGAGTGAGGACTTTAGTAGTAAGTTATCACCAGCTCCTGTAACACATAACACAAGGGCGAGTGAGGACTTTAGTAGTAAGTTATCACCAGCTCCTGTAACACATAACACAAGGGCGAGTGAGGACTTTAGTAGTAAGTTATCACCAGCTCCTGTAACACATAACACAAGGGCGAGTGAGGACTTTAGTAGTAAGTTATCACTAGTTCCTGTAACACATAACACAAGGGCTAGTGAGGACTTTAGTAGTAAGTTATCACCAGCTCCTGTAACACAGAAAGGCAACTGAAGCTTTTGCTTTTATGGTAGAGATAATTACATTACTTCTATTTCTTTTCAAGAGACGTAACCATGATGTATCGCACTTTGAACAAATACTCACTTTTATATACGACACGCAATAAGCCGCCACATTGAAGAACATGAGGGTGTACAGGCTGGATAGTCGTTGATTCGTCAACAAGAGTCGTTCACATATGCTGAAGAACACCAGCTGAAGATGAAGGAAAAGAAACACTTCATTTCAAAATTGTTAATGAAGGAAAGACGAACACACACGTCCCACACAACCAACATTACCAACATTATATTTTTCTTTACATGAAATGACAACATAGGCAGCGAATGTCCAGTTAAAATCTACACACATAATGAATCAATGTGAACTTGTATGATTATTTTACTGAACAAAAGTAAATTTAATATTTACCCGTCTACCCTGATGTTACGTATCATGGGGACATGACCTTTCCTTTATTGGTAGTAATTTGGTAGCGAAGGAAACATAACTAAGAGATAGAACTCCATCTCGTAGTCGTGTTATCTTCACTACAAACTAATAAGGACAAAGTATACTAATAGACTGGCGTGCATAATCGGTCGGTGGAGGTACAGTTATAATAGTAGCATTGGTTCATTTGATATGTTTAAAGTAGTTGTGTTTCTGCAACAAACTAGCCTGTAGTTGCGGGGCTTTGTTGAAGATAGTATCTACATCACGACCTTAAGACAAAGAAGCTTGCTCACTTGGTTGACCAAAATGGAGAAATTCTTCCTCTTCATATAGAGAGACTCGAAGGAGAGGAAGCGACACCTAGCCCTAAGGAGGACACGCCGGATGAACACCAGCCACTTGCTGCCGCTGACCTCACCCCTCACCCCGCCTGTCACCAGTCAACAATTTAAAAAATTTCAGTGTTAAAGAAGTCATGTGAAATAGTGAAACATCTTAGTTTATTTTATGTTGCTATATTAACAGTTATCAGTATTTTGATGTTGCATATATTATGATAAAAGTTCAAGACACAATATACAGTAATAATAGCACCAGCAGAGGACATCATCGACGTCTGACTTTTCTCTCCACTCTGTAATGACATGTTTACGGTAAGTAAGCCTGGCGAAAATTTGCCCGTCACTGTCTTCGTTACACAACTATATGTAAGAGTTGTGTGTCCTGGCAGCCCTGGACTTCATGTAGCGCCTTACCGAGAATATTATGGTCGTCCATTTCAGCCAGACACTTGAATAATCCCAGGACGGACGCTGTGAGGGCGGCCACCAAGCCCACCCCTGCCAACAGGTGGGCGGTCAGCTGCACCGATACCAGCGACGCCCACGGCAACAGAAGCACCACTAGCAGAGTCACACCTGCAAGGAAGAGCCAAGTTATACTTATTGTACACAACCATATTTTCTTATCGCCCATCTCTCAGTTAAGTGAACACCACCACCTCCCTCATCCCGGCCCCACGCTGTACTCCCCTAACAAAAGGACTATTATGATCACCAAGTTTCCACCAATAACACGCCCTTATGGTCGTTATTCTTGTCATGGGTGAACTACTGTAATTTTTCTGAAAATCTTTTTTACAGGTTGCCTCACAACAAAACCCTGGCCTGACTGGACAGGCATCTCACAAGGCCAGGTCTCAGGTCTGTGTCCTCAACCTGTATTATAAGACGCTGATGATTATTTTAAAACTAAATATCTGGCCTCATTATATCCTTCACTTGACATACAACATCTTGAGGAGAAAATTAATTCACATATAATAGCAACATAAATCTCATTTGTTGTAATACATAAAACGATCAATCATAGTTTATCTTCTACCCACCGATGAGACAGAGACGAGACTTAGGTGGGTATGGACGGCGTTGACGCCACCCGCTGGACACAGCAGCTTGGACGAGGATGGGCGGCAGGGCGGCCACCTGCTGCCGCCTCTGCCAGGCGGTGTACAGGCGGAGGGCGACACGCTTCGCCACACCCATCACCCACAGACCACCCTCACTCCTTCACTTCCCCCACACTATCACCAGTTTCTATAACTAGGAAAATATAACGCTTCAAACCTGTTTGTGCATGTTTTATACTATACTTCAGTTTATGGCTATATAAAGAGCACGTCCAGAACAGAATATATTTTTTTTTATTGTAAACTGTAGTGAAACAACCACGACAAGTGTAATCTGGGAGACGTTGGCCTGGATTTATCGCCAGAAAAGTGTATCTTGTTGCTTGACGAGTTGTTTACACAGCAGTGGTCTGGTGCTTACACGTCTACAATGCTTGTGGTTTCTGGGAAGAGACAGAGTGGTGTTTACCGCAAAGATCAAGAAGCTTGGTATTTCAATTAACGTAAACCTGACACAAGAACAATTAGAAGCGTGGAGTGAGACATGTTTCAGAAAATAAAAAGTTAAGTATCTGAGACAAAAACATGCAGCGTGTAATGCAAAAAAGGCTACATGTCTCACACAAGAGAAACTATAGAATCTGAGGCAAGACACAGCAAAACAATGATCAGCTGCCAGGGTCTACACAATGACTCCACACCTCGCACTGTCATCACTCGTCCCTCCTCTACTTCTTGGCTCTCCTCCCACCCGACTGTGGCGCCGCGGGGAAGGAGGGTAAGGTAGGCTGACGTAACACTGTCACCCTTCTACCCCTCTCCCAATACTTTTCCAGTCCACTGGTCACAATTCGTGCTCGGTATTACACTGCACTCTATGTTGCTACGGGGTATTAAGGAGGCTGGCCGTCACTACCGAGTACTGCATCACTAGATATTATCGTGAATGTCGCCTTCTGAGCAGGAGAACTTTTGTAGACTCTTGCTGAACGAGAACACTGATATACTTTGAGTCCTCTTCACTCAGTCGCAAGTCGTAAAGAAGAGCAAGAGATTGGTTCTCGCAGACCCAAAAGGAAGACGCAGCTTTGTGAGGGTGTCGGAATGGGAAGCACCACAACCACTTCACCAACGCCAACCAACTTCTGCCATTGCAACTACCTGACTTCGTGACCCCCTCGTCCACAAACTTATCCGGATCTCGGGATCTGTAATAGCTACCCCTGAGAAACACGCGAAAACGCTCCTGAACAAATTTTACCTATATAGATCATCTGGATTTGATGATCTGATTTAATTTACAGCGGAAGATAATGAATATCAGGAGCATTGTATTGTTAATGTGAAGCTGAAGTCAGGGTGAGGTGGAGGTGAGGGAGGCGATCGTGTCAGTGCCAAGGTGCGGGTGCCAAGACATGCATGTATAAGGAGAGAAAACGGGAGTCGGCGTTACTGATGCAGTGGTCTTGTTGCTGAGCAACTGTTGCCTTTACTTGTACTGTTGTGTGTTTACGGTACTCGCTACACATGTGAGTGTATGTGTGTTGTGTTTATTTTGCGAAATCAATTATTTTACAATATGACTGGCAAGCATGATGGTGATTTTGCATAATTACTTGCAAACAGGCCAGCCTAACCTAACTTCTTCTAATTTATAACTTAGCTTTATTCATTGGGTTAGGTTAGGTTAGGTTAGGCTGGCCTGCTTACAAGTAATTTTGCAAAATCACCATCATGCTTGCCAGTCATATTGTAAAATAATTGATTTCGCAAGAAAAATAATAATAAAATAAAATGATATATATATATATATATATATATATATATATATATATATATATATATATATATATATATATATATATATATATATATATATTATAATATGTGTGGGGTTGGCTCCAGTAAACACAGCTCCATCAGCACTTGTCCTTCCATTAAGTACAAAAACTTTGTTCTCAACAAGTAAACAGTTGCGCGCAATTCTAGATCGTATTTTCATGAGAAATTTAATGAAATAAGTAAGATCTAGATGTATGACTCATAACCTGAAGAAGGTTGTCTGTACCGGGACCAGTTGTTTCGTTTGAGCCTGAGGTAATTTATATAGTCATTTAAATTTTTTTGGGTATTTATTTATCAATAATGCAAATTATTGTAAGGACACTTGGAAGAGGTTACGGTCGTTAGCGCGCCGGGAACAAGCAGAACTAAATAAGAAAGGAAGGAAGGTGGGAGGGGTCGTGTGCTGACGTGAGGTGGGGAGTCAGTATTGACAGTGGTGGTGTTGGTGTGCGACCTCTCCTGACCACGGCCACGCCACTAAGGTCAAGACCACTACACAACATCACTTCACCAAGACCACTCCATAGAAATCTCTTGACCAAGAATACATGTTCTGGACTAGACTAGTCATAATTACGTGATAATTTAGTGATGATAATAGTGTTGTTGATGACTTAAACATGACACGTCCAACACTGTGTTAGTACTAGAAGCAGAAACTGTGTTGTTGTGGGGTTCACCTCGCCCTGCCTAACGCTAACGCACTTGGCTTAATACACACATTTGAGCCCACACCTCACATACACTTGACCCCACACCTCACATACACTTGACCCCATACTATATACATACACCTGACCCCACCTATACATACACTCGACCCCACCTATACATACACTTGACCCCACACTATACATACACCTAGGCCATCATGGTGGCCTCGGGGATAGAGGAGGCCAGGCTCTCTGACACTCAGGTGAGGTACAGAGAGCCTTGTCCCCCTCCTGTTATAGTCAAGGTTCACCTCAAGAAGCACCTGAGGGACAACCCAGCCCTGGCTGCCGCTGTGGAAGGTAAACATCAACCTTAAGTGATCTGTCTGTGACACTGTCTGGTAAGTCTGACATATAAGATTGTTCAGAATTGTGTTTTGGAGTCTTAAATTCGTTACCAGATAAAAAATCGAACGAAAGTTAACACAGTAGTGTATTCCTACCCTCTTACGCCCCCGCCTTCATGCATTCCTCCCTCCAATAATATAAGCACAAGGATGTCAGTACTCATTAAATTGTTCCTGTCGAGTCAGCGGTACAGTAGTTCAGTAATGGTTTTCTTTAAAGTGCCAGCACACTGAAAGATAGTAAGCAAAGGCGTAAAGGAGAAACAGTTGATAACTCGTATTGTATTCTGAATGGCAAGTTCCTTGTATTGTAAACTGTCATACCCGCTAGGTACAGGTGCGGAAATGTTTCCCTACACCCCCAGTGGTAACCCGTTTCTCCAAACGGCAACGTCTCAGTAGTAGTATCACTGTTTATGAATGAATGGGTATTGGTTGTATTACGAAGGACGTGATTGGTGAATAGGTTTCCTATTGGTCCTATAGGTTGGCCATTTGGAGAGACGGATTACCACAGCACGAGTAACTCCTACGCAGTGCCGGATTAACCATGAGGCACTTGAAGCACTGGCCTTAGGCCCCCCGACTCTAAGGGGCCCCCATATCCAAACATTCTCGAAGTTGAAGCGTATAAAACATGAACTGCATTCAACGAAGTCCTAGCAACGTCTCAATTTTCTGTCTCTTATGAACATTGAATGTGTTATTTTGCAGAAGCTTAATATTGATGAAATCATTGATAAATTTGGGTATATTTTGTTCTTGTTATTTATCTATACCTTGAGGGTAGGGGGCCCAAGGTTGATCTGTGCCTCAGGCCCCTATTAAGCTTAATCTGGTCCTGCTCCTACGGTCTAGTCAGTCTTAAGTGTTTCCTGTCAGTGACTTTTTCCTGTCCTGTTATATCGGAGTGCTACTTGTCTGTCATAATACTTCACTGTATGCTCTTAGCCTATGGTTGGCTTACTAACCAGTTGGGCGATCGGTCAAGTTACTGTGGAGTAATGTTATTAAGTCCTGAGCATATGCCATATACGGACTCGTGAATGTTTCTGAACTCACATTTAGTGGTGTCACAGCATTCTCTATCAGGTAATCCCAGAGCTCGCAATTCTTTTCAAATAGAAATTATCTCCGACAATTTTCTGGACTGAGAACTTCTTTAACTTGAAGCTGTAGTTCCAAACATTCTGTCCCTACAGAGGCTGAGCGTGCCCGCCTCCAGCGATTGTTACAGCAGAAGCAGATGGCAACGCCTGAGCATCACCAAATAACGCCCAGATACATTCCCGAATCCCTGAAGAAGGCCTATACGCCGGGGAGCAGGTCAGCTGCTCGACCAAACTGCCAGGGATAGTTCACACTAGGAAACTTTATTTTTAGTAATGCAGAAGTACCCATAGATATTTTTTTTATGTATGTGATTTATTTTTTTTTTAAGTTTTTAAATTTGAGACGTAATTCCTCGGCTAAATTTACATCCTACAGAATATCATTACCTTGTTATTTTAGTAAGAACTTAGTAATATGTCTGAGTAAACGTGCAGTCACGAACAGTAGTCGTGTGATACTCTCAACACATATTTTAATTCCACTGCCGGTGTAAGGTGGAACCTCTCTTCCACCATACTTAGCCAATTTTAGAGGTAACAAGTAAAATGTAAACACCTCCCCGCGTATTGTAGATTCCACAGTCGTTGTCAGAGTGAATGTGCGGGGAAGAATATCGCACGACTATTGTTGTGACTGTACATCTCACCCAAGGGACGAGATCGGTATGGTACTCGTGATATTATGTAAAGAAATTAACCTTTTAGACGATAAACCGTTGTACTAGTACTGAAGGTTGACGAAATACCTCGGTATAGACATACAGTAAGGTTTCATTCAAGCTATTGTTTCTCTTACTCCCAATTTCACTGGGTTCTTTCCAGTTAATACGCGTACTTTCTTCCTCTCTTACTCTTTCGTTTCTATTAGACCCCTTCATAATAGTACACCAACCACTGTTGATCTGACTGTGTATCTAACCACTGAGGCTTGTTCCAGGTTGCCAACCCTGGGTCTTGAGCGACTGGCACCCTCCAGACGGACCATCGCCACTACTCGGGGCTTCTGGAAGGATTCAGTATCTCGCACCCTCACCCGCCATGACGCCCACACACCTTCGGGAGAGGAACCACTTCCTAAGTCCTCCCTCACTAGGACCTGGAGGCATTTCTTCAGGGAGGCTTCACGCGCCTTCCTGAAGGTTACGACTCCACTCTGCAAGGATAGGGAAGTCACTAGGTCCACTGACTAGTTGGTAAATCCTCGACTCTCCTGAACCGCTCATGAATCAATCATATGTAAGATTCGACCCTGCTGAATTTTCCTGAACCGACTATGAACCATCTTCATAGAGAAGTTTCAAATCGGGTGGAATGCCCATAACCCGCGGTTATATTCAAGTCTCGACTCTGTAAACGATTTGTGTGTGATACATAATCCAGTATCATATAAAAATCTCCATTGTGAGCAACGCTTGCACTGCAGCAGCCTCCACCATGCATAGTCCTGACTTTTAACAAAACGAACTGGTTGTCTTAACTCCAAATCCTCGATAAATCCCTCCTAATTCGCTTATATATATATATATATATATATATATATATATATATATATATATATATATATATATATATATATATATATATATATATATATATATATATATATATATATATATATATATATATATATATAATGTGTGTGTGTGCAGACAAGCATGTGTTCTTCGGATTTCATGGACAATTATTAATGTTTTGTGCAAACTAATTACATTCTCATAACCGATCGTTGACATGTATAAGTGAATATGTAACTCGCCTGTACGTAACATCAACACACGTGAAAATAGATTGTGTAGATCCCTCGTGCACGGATATATCTTTAAGACAGTTAAACACTTTTTATACAGTAGTTAAACACTTTCTATACAGTAGGTATGCATTCACCATGTTTTACATGATTAGAAATTGCAAACCTGTCTACGAGTTTATTCCTGGAATATTACTAAATCTTAAAACGAGAAAAGAAGTGTCACTCTATTCTGGGTTATGCAAAGATAAAATTATTGGTACTAAATTTACAGGTAACGTTTTGAAATTATGAAGTCAAAATACAAGTACTAAAAGATTCGCAGCAATTACTGATAGTTTGGCAGTCTGCTTATATTGTAATGTAAACGGCGTTTTTGTGCATTCTTAGCTGCTATGTAAATAGAGTATAAGTGATAAGACGATATACAGTTTACTTTGGGAAACCTTTCTTGTGTAAATAAATTGTACCGCCG